AGAGAGAGAGAGAGAGAGAGAGAAGGGGGAGGGGTTAGACTTTCCGAGCTAATGTCTCGGATAGCACCGCTGGAAAAACAGTTCTCGCGTTCGGTGGTCTAGTCGATCGAACGCGATCGAAAACGCGATGAACGGACGAGGCCGCGATCAAATAAAGTTTCAGTTTAAAATAACAACGCGTTTTATTTCTGTTTGCGTCGTTAGCGAATCAGAGGGGATTTCGACGAATGTAAATGGTACACTCGTAACGATGCGCAACGCCAGGAAATGTCCGGTCGTATCGCGTAGCGCGTTATACATCGCTTGTCATATTTCCTCTTTTTCCTTTTCTTCCTTTCTTTTTATTATTATTTCCGTTTAATTACCCGGGGGGTAAAAAAGAAGTATTGGCACGTCTAGATTTTTATGAAAACAAATAATATACATTCCCATGAAAAATAGTTCGCTACATACAGAAGTAATGCGCACTGTCCAAACAATTTCCAAAAATAATAAACAAGAAACGTAAAAATTCGAGAGTCAAAAAAATATTGACACACTTGTAATTCCAGTGCCTTAAATATACCGAATGTTATTAGAAACTGAAGATACAAAATATCTTTTTGTAAGTGTTGGAATATTAATTATATTGGTATCGAGCCAAGGAGGTTAAGAAAGAAAGCTTGTCTTTAAATCATTAAAAATATTTTACATATTTTCTGTTCAAATACATGGTAGAGCTGCAAAAAAAAAAAACCATCCCTTATGTGACCCCATGTGTCAATATCTCTTTGGGTCTCGAATTTTTACATTACTCGTATTATTATTGCATGATTCATTAATATATTATTTCGTTAATATATCACTCGTTTTCACAAAAATATTCCGAGAAAGCCAGTGCCAATACTTTTTTCGATCCACCGGTCGTATGTATTCTCGCGCTAAATTTCGAGAAATTTTTACTGCATAATTCGTCTATAATTTACAGTTATACAATTCCGAGCATTTCGCATCAAACGAGTAATGAAAGAGTCGTTTAAGTAGTTGGTAGGAAAATTGCGAAACAGGGGATTAACTAGAAGCGGAAGAGGATGAACAGATAACGTTATTAACGGTTCGACAGTGAATAAATTTGCATTCGCTCCGTTACAATATGCATAATTGATGGCAACGTTAAAACGAACTATTTAACCAAATTTCTTCATTACAGGAGAGGAGCTCGTGCTATAGAAAGTTTCCTGGATTTCGATTCGTTTCGGGATACACCCCTCGGCCATCTCGTCTCGAGATCTATTCGACGCGTGAAATGCGGTTCACGCACACATCGTGCTTTATGTAAATCATCGGTCTCTTAACGATCTCGTTGCGCAACCTCGCCCAACAGTGGCGCGACGTTCGATAAATTAACGATGAAACCTCGCCGCACTCGTGATACGTATTTACTCTTGAGATTAATGGCCGTAGGAGAAAT